GAAAGAGTCTGGTCAGATTACCAAAGTAATGCTTAGTGCTGTTTATATCCATTGGAAGAATCTACTAAATTTAGGCGTTTAATATCATATAAACATGCAATATAGAGAGATTGTTCCATTTCAAAGCAATTTATTTCTGTACCTCTGTTTTCCCTTAGAAGAACAGTAGACAGAAGTGAACACGAAGCAGTAATACCTAATGAAACAAAAACAAGCATTGATGTTCGTGCTGGTTACTCAAAGTGACATTATAAGGACATTTGTTCTTGATATTTTTAGTGGCCTCTTTATACGTACGTTACTTTTTCCCTTACCAAACCAAAAACACAGAGTAGGAGAGGGCGAGGGGGTGGCAGCCGAGGCTGGGATGCAGGAGGAGCTGCTGCAAATTCGAGCAGAATTTGGGGAAATAAAAGCTCCCCTCCATCTCAGTCTACCTCCTACTGGCACGGTAAAGGAAGAGCTGAAATCCTAGCTGGCAAAAAAATTCTTATCTCCCTATATGTAAATGTTTAATTCATTATATTTTTAATTTAGTAATGCTCGAGTAGGCTTCGAGATGTTTAGCACAAGATATTACTGCAGTAGAAACATCACCTCTGCCCAGATCTTGCTGTGCAGTGGGAAATCATAGTTGCAACGAGGCAATGTGTATGTGCGGGTAGGCACACAGGTCTAAATTGCAAAATGTAAAGTGAGTGGGTCTCAAGTGGACTGGTCCCTCAAAGCAGAGCAGTGAGAACATGAAGCTAAAGCTTATTTCATTAATGTCTCTCTTTATGCATGTGTTATGTGTGTGTAAGCTAGCGCAGTTTGCCTACAATTTGGCACCAGCGTATTCACAGGCACAGTGATCCATTGCTGATTCCCCTAAGGGGGCTCTTAGCTGTATCTGGTTCGCTGCTGTGGATGTCTAATCAAACAGTCTGTTGCTTTTTCCTTTGCTTGTCTTTGTCTTTGCTGGTTTTGTTTACTTTCACCGTTTTTCTGTTGTGCAGACCCATACATTTCTTCATATAATCACCCAGTCCTGCCTGACACTGAGCAGGATAGAGGATGGCACCCATGGTCCCACCGTGGAGGCTTGCAATGGCAGCCCCTTCCAAACGTGGATGCTAAGAAACTACACAAGGCTGGAAGTCTTTAGAAACATTTTTCACAGCCCCACTGACTATTTCCTTTAACAAACGGTCGGAGGTTGGTATTAAAAAGCAAATGTAGCATGTAGTGATTTAAGCTGTTCCCAGAAAAATGCTTCTCCCTTCTCTGCCTGTTAAACTCAACAGAATTTCTTTCTTGTTTTCTCAGATGGTCATATAGATATATGGTAGTATGTATGTTTAATGTTAGTTATTATCAGTTATTATTAATTATAACTAATTTTGGATGAATTCAACTAGCTTGATCTATTGATGTCAATGTGATGGTTACAGTTTGCAACAGCTGAAGATTTGGTCCCTGTTCCAAGACATATAAATAATGCCAATTGCATAATGTTTTTCAGAAATGTTCATTTTGAAAATTCCCAATTTGAAGTCATCCAATCCTAGAGACATTAATCACAAATAATTTCAAAACATGAACAGCTAGTTTCGAACTATTAATCACCGAAGGAATCAAAATGTTGTGCCAACTCCCGTTCTTGGTTCCTGGAGGGTTTTGCCGGGTAATACGCCGGGTAGCGATGGGGCAGCGCAGGAGGTGACGCGGGGTGCCAGGCTCAGGATGGCAGCCTGCGAAGCCGGGGCCGGTGAGGGGCAGCACGGGTGCGGGGGGACGGCCTGCCCTGCCCAAGCACTCCTTGCAGAGAACGTGTCAAGAAATGGCTTCTTTCATTTTTCTAAGTACCTCTGCTGCTCTGACCAACACTTTGCTGGTGTCTTTTCATTCGCAAAAGTCACTTTTTAAAACCCAGAACTTGCAGAGTTATTGCCGATATCTATAACGACCACTGGAGTAAGGCGATGCTGGAGTAAAGGATCTGTGCTCCATCGTTTTGCCATAGTGTATTCAGTCTTCGCTCATCAGAGCTGTCATTTGCATACATTTGGGAAGCGGGACACTACAGGGCTTGCTCCTGTACATCTGCACGGCTGTACAGCTAGCTCTGCACCCATGCGTCTGTTCTCACGTTCGAGTAAAATAAAAATTTTGGGCTGGCTTGCATGAGTGTCGTATTGCCTAGTAATTAATTGTTTTCCAAGCAAACGAGACCTTTTTTTGTAATAGCATAAATAATGATAGAACACAGAAAGAAAAAATTTGAGACGGTTGAAAATCCCAATGATATGGTAATCTAGCATGAAATTATACACTGAATGAAAAGGAACAGCTGATGAAGGCAACAGCAGCTTTTTAGACTTGTTTGCATTTCTGGTTATAGTAGAAAATGATAGCAGCCTAATTGCACTTAAAACAATATAAGTGAGGAATCAGTGATGCTTTGAGCAGTGCTATTTAGTAAACAAGCTACTTCTGTTAGCACTACTAATTCTTTCCTCATGTAATTAGAGGAAAAAATGCCTTATATTCATCATTGAATGCATATCAAATGGCCCCTCGGTGATTTGCTATAATATCTGCAGGCTCTTCTTTGAGAATTGCGTAATAGTTTGTTTTCAACTGAGGAGCGAATCTCTAGGGACAAGCTATTGAAAGAATATTCATAATACAGATTAGGAGTGCTAATACGTGACACGGCCATCCAGTATGAACCACCTCGAGTTGCAGAGCGCAATAGCGCGGGTATACGTTTGGGTAATAAAACCTCACTGCTTGTGGGCTGCGTTAGCGTTTCCCGGCAGTTTAATTGAAACACCAGACGATAGTTGTGTTGGGTTTGTTTTTTTTCATGTGAAGATACACAAATGGTGTTTATTAGCAGTGAGACTGCATCAGAGACACTAGCTGCTAAAATGACTCCTTATTTACATAACGTTGGTTGCAGTAGTATTGTTTTATCTTAACTGAGTATTTATACTCGCAGGTGAGTGCGAGGGAGCGAGCAGCCTCCACCACGCTGGTAGCCACTTGAAGGAGACCTCTGCCATGCTGCTGCTCCGAGGCTTCGGGTCGGGCTCTGCTGTCCCGGGCTGGATTCCTCCTTTCTCCCTCCTCCAGGACACTGCAGCATTTTCCTGCCCATCCTTGCTCCCTTGTTTGTTCCTTTGCATTGTGTTTGACATAAAATTGGTCTCTGCTCTAATGATGGATCTGCAAACAAGGTTTTGGTCCTGAAGTCACCTATTCCCTTGGGTGTTCTTGGCGGGGCAGGGTTATAACCCCTGTGGAGCTGCTGTACTCCAGCTCAGACATCGGTTGACCACTTTACCTGGAGCATCAACCTAACTCTGTAGGTTGCGTGGCTATTTGTAAAAGTGATGGAAGAGGAGAGCTGGTGCGGGACCTGTCCCGCCACGGGCAGCAGACCGCCCCACGGCTACGTCTGCCTTAGCAAACAGCGCGGAAAAGGGGAGCGGGTCTGTGCAGGGAACCGAAGCCTGGAGCACGGCTCTTGGTCTCGTGGTAGGAGATGGGTCTGCTCTGCCAAACCTGTGGCATGGCCTCATGGCCGTGAAGGGAGAGGGACTGATCTTTAAAACCCTGAGGGACAAACTAAACGAAGGCCAAAATCATGGTTTTCTGAATCAGGTGCAGTAGCAATCACAGATGTTTCCTTCAGAAGTATTAAGTTGATACTGAGCTTGCAAGGCCGTCGATGGATGCGGGCGCAGTGGATGGCCATTGTGCCATGCCGGAGTTGTGCAGGGCTTGTCTGGAGTCAGCCCCTCTGGCAGCCGGGCTCTGAGCTCTGGCCAGGGGAGCACGAGATGCTGGGCTGGCATGTGGGGATCCAGCGAGGTGGTCCCCAGCCCTCCCGGCACGGATCCAGCTTCATCCTCTGCTGTACAGGGACCCCAGCTGTCCTGCACTCCCCCGCCTCCTGCGTGTTTCAATGTATGGGTTACGCAGTGCAGTCCCAGACCTATGGCTGCTGACTTCACATGTATATGCGTGTGCAGATTTGCATATAATACAGTTTTAATTGTTTTTTCAGGAAAGACCTTTTAGGAAAAAGTAAATTGATAAATACAACACTTGATAGCAAAGGCACTTATGGTGTTAATTGCTCTGATTTTGTGTGTAAGACTCCCAGATCAACCATGGAGGAGTGATGGAGAGAATACCTGCTGCTCTGCTGCCAGTGTACCTGCCTTGTTTTATCTAAGTACACAACTTCATGTTTAGCTTCCTTGGATCTCTTTATGAACGTGTTCTCCCAATGCTTTCAAACAGAAGATGGTTAATGTCTTCAAAATAAACTCTGTTTCCTATTGTCCCCTTCTGACTCTCCCATTCCTCAGAAATACGGTGTCATGTGGTAGGAATAGAAAGGGGTGGGTGTCCTGAAGAAGAAAAAATATATTGGAAACAGAGGAGCTTTCATCTGCACGTTGCTGTTGTTTGTGTAGTACTTAGCAAATGTATTTCCATTAGCAGTTGTTTCTGAACTAACAGTGCGTGGTCCGAAGTGCCCGTGTGTTCAGGTTGCTGAAGACTAAGCTCCTTCATCCAAAAGACAGTTGCTTTGAAATCATATTTCCTTGCACTGACTTTGTACTTTTCTGTTGCATTTATTTGTTGCTGGGCTCAGCAGAGGCGCTCGCTGCCCGGCTTGCCTGGCCACGCGTGAGCAGGTGAGCTGGACGCCCCGTGGAGTGGCAAGTAGGGTGGCAGAGATCTCGTAGAGCTGTACGAGTGCTAGCAGGGATGAGTACCTGTCCCGTGGCTTGTGTAGTGACTAGAGTAAGACTGAAGGAAGACCGAAAATGCAATTACTGGTTTTCAACAGTAATTACCTTGCTGCAGCTCTTACACTTGTCTCTTGCAGAAGCTCACCCTGAGGCACGTCAACAGCAACCAGTGTCTGGATGAGCCGTCGGAGGAGGACAAGATGGTTCCCACCATGAGGGAGTGTGGCGACGGCCGTTCCCAGCAGTGGCTGCTGCGCAACATGACCCTGGGTGCCTGAAGTCGGCGTGGACCCGCTGCCTCGGCCGGGATCTCCTCTTCCTCCTCCTCGTCCTAAATCCTAGCTAAATCCTCTCCAAATCCCAGCTGTCAGAGCAAAGTCACAGGAGGGGGTTTCCTTGATGCAGCAGGTCTCCACATGCCCCTTTGAAACCTGTGACTCTTCAAAAGAAGCTCGTCTGAGCCCATAAATGTCAAAACATGTGCTGTTATCATCACAGATATGCTCAGAAATGGTTCCAGAGAAACCTCTATGAACCCTACGTCAACGAGGTTGGGATGGAGGGCGTTTTCTGCATGTCACACGCCGCTGCGGGGAAGTGACCCAATATAAAATGCCTTATGACACTAACTGGCACTGGGAACCATCCTGGCAGGCGCCTCTGAGCTCGATGTGTTGGTGCTGGTCTTTCCTGGCAAGGCGGTGGGGATATTTGCTGTTCTCTCCTGTCGAGTGGCACTCGGTGAAGAACTTCACTGAGCAGCAAAGTCGCCTGACAGAGCGAAAGCTTTGCGGTTTGTGCAGGGAAAAAAAATGGGAACCGGTGTTTGGAAAAACAGCAAAACTGAGACTGCCCTCAGCAATTGAAATGAAATCAAATGAGACAACAGCAAAAGACGTGGGAACAATGTTAAGGAACGACAGACGTGGGTAACTCAGACCAGCGCAGATGGGACTGTCCTCTGCCGTGGGAAGAGAAGCAGCTGGGGCTGAGGCCTGGGGAGCTGCAGGGGGGCTGCAGATGGAGGTACCAAAGCCTCCGAGACCACTGGAGACCGAGGGTTGGTGTGCGCTCGATCCCTCGCTGCCACCCTTAAGCATTAGTATATACCTGTGTCCTGTCTAAGGCACAGACAAGAGCTTCATCCGTGGATCCCCTACGCACAGAGGATAAAACTGAGTGGACTCCGAGTTCCGGCTCCAGATGTTCTTGCTTCAACAGCAATGACAGATGCTTATTTATATTTTTAATAATTTTGTGGCTTAATCATTTTGTTAGCGTGGTTATTAGAAATGTCCTGATGGCACGCAGTCGTGTCGGAGGCATCGCAGGAACTGATGCCGTGCCGGCCCATGGCGGGGTGCGGGGAAGGGTCCTGTAGGACCGGGTGACATTTCCTATATGTACTGGTGACGTTTCCTTTGGTCGCCCCAGCAGCATGCGCTCCCCAAAATGCATCTGTTGTGCGACGGGCTGGGCTGGGTTTTCGGCAATAGTCTGTAACTTCTCTTTGCCCGGAGGGTTCCGGAGATTTAAATCACAGGGCAGCAGCCGCAGCGTTATTTCAGCACGGGTAAGTGGTGAAATGGTTTCCCATTATTTCACTCACAATTCCTCAAAAGGTCTGTTTACGCACTAGGTCATTAGAAATGACAGTATTTTCTGTATAATGCTCTGGTTGTTATGGATTAATAGTGTCATATATATGTACGTATTATAAATTTATAGATTGTCCATATTTTCTTGATACACATCATTAAATGAAAAACAGAAGGTTACTAAATTGGACAAGTGATTGCTCTGCATGCGTGGGAGCTAGAGTATCATGGATTAACTGAGATTGGAAGTTCATCTGGGCCAGCCTCCCTGCTCAAAGTAGGGTCAAACACTTCCAGTCCTACTCTTCAAATTGCCACAAAAGTGCACGATATGGCTTAAAAGCTAGCAAAACGGGGGAAGGCTGTACTGCTTCATAGAAGGAGGGTGCAAACATCACAAATTTAAACACTGCTCTCCATGCAGAAAAAAATTAATAAATTGTTTCTTCATCTCCTTTCCAAGGGCCTTTGCCGCACACGTAGCCACTGGCACTGGTAGCTCGTGTAGCCAGGCGTTTGGCTTTTGCCTGTCCCTGCAGAAGGAGGTGGTGTGGAAGGTCCTGCAGCAGCCGGGAGCATTAGGAGGGGGCAGCTGGCGGTGCCGTCTCGTCGGGGTGCCCCCTCTGTTACTTCGGAAATACCCCGGCTCCGAAGGGTGATGGCGGCGGAGTCTCCTACGCTGCCCTGGTCACATCCCAAGGTTTTCCTGACGTCGTAGCTGGAGGGTGATGGCAAGGTGCAATCGGTGTGCGATTCTCTAGGCTTGAGGTGCCATCTCAAAACCAGATGAAGAAAAGAACCTTTTTCTCCTTAGAATTACTCTGAAGGTTAATATTGTTATGAAGTGTATAACCCCTTAACAAAGATGGCAAGCTTGCAGTGTTTGGGTACGGTCAGTGCCTGCACTGCTGTGTCCCTGCTTGGGGGGCGAAAAAGAAGGGGGATGTCTCTGTGTTGGACTGTGCTTATTTCGGGGCAGGTACGCGCGTCCCTCGCGGCCGGAGCAGAAGTATTGCTGTAGGTCTTTGCAGGCTAGCAGGTTGGCCTGCCGTCTAGAAATTGTGATCAGACCTAGAGAAAAGCACTGAAGGGCCTGTTAGTCTTCAGTCACGGCGAGTATTTCTGTGGGCTTCGAGGGGCGGGATCCTGGATTTACCTCCTCGGTGAGGATACACAAACCCCGTGAGTCTCGTTGCAGGGGAATTTCACGCAAAACTGCATTTGCGGAGAGCGAGGTGGTGATGGTGAGGGTGCCGTAAGTGCTGATACGGCGTCCGGGAAGGTGAACGATGGGGTTAGTGAGTGAATGGAAGTTACTGCGCTCGGGCCTCTGCCCTTCCTCCTGCCGGTGGTTCAGGTGTTGCCTTGGCAAGTGATTTGGGCTAAAACCGTTTAAAATAACTCGTTCGGTTGCCTCTGTTGATGACTGTCTGAAGTTCAGGACCCACAAACAGACAACAGCCGAAAAACTTCGGTTGCTCTTTGTTTCCCCATTTATAAGCCATCTCAGAAAGGTGTCGGGAGGGTTGACTTTAAAGACCTCTGCAAATGTTGAATATTTGTTGTTCTCGCTGGAAAAGTGTTGCTGGCTCTTGTATTTTTTGCGACTTGCTTTGATGAGATGCGAGTGAGCCGTAATGCTGGGTGGCATCAGCAAACTGAATGTTTTGAAGAGAAAGTTGAGCTGTAACGGCTGTAAAAAGCAGTGTTCCTTTTTATCTCCCGGCACCTTCTGGCGATGGATGGAGGTCAGGGAGCCCAGTGCAGCCCCAGAACTGAAATAGGCATTTGGATCAATCGACCTGGATGGGTTTCTCTGCCGGTGCGTGCTTCCCAGTCGCTAGGAGGGCTGATTTATTTGTTGGACTCGAATAGCGCTTTGAAGAAAAGCCGCAAAACTCCCTTTTCTGATTTTTTTTTTTTTTTTTTTTAAATTGGAGATTTCATCTGATCCCACGCCCTTGGGCTGCATCTGGTGGGGCTGCTGGGCAGAGCCTCAGAGGAGGCGTTTCTCAGAAGGTCAGAGGCATTAAACACCCTGGAACACTTTGGGGAGATAAAGAGGAGTTGGGCCGTGCCGGTGAGTGCCACAGCCTGCCGGTGACAGATGGCCTTTTGTCGGGTAGCTGAAAGCCTGCCGGCGGCCCCACGGCTAACGCAGCCGGTGAGACTACACCACGCGTAACCTCCTACTAACTGTGAGCTGCTGCCTGCTCCCACCGTGTTGGATGAACACCAGCGATGTGTTCTAATGCTTCTGTGGCTTCGTGTCCATGTAATAACGTCCAGCCAGAACCGTTGCTCCGGTATGTGGCCACCCCCATTTTATTTTATTTTTTCTCCGCCAGCACATATTCAGGACAGCTTGGTAAGCAGTGCGTTGTGAAAAGGCTAAGGTACTCTGAGATCGTACAAAGTTTATTTGAAAAGCGTTGGAATTCTGCTCGGTATTTTCCAAAGCAGGGGAAAAAAAAGACTGAGACGCAGTGGTTTGGAGGACGTGCCTGCAAAGGCTCCTGAATAAGTGCTGGGAACGCAAATTTAAATTAAATTTACAAAAGTAGATTGTGGATAAAGAATTACACATTTTAAATGTTGTAACAGTTATTAAATGGTATACTGGTACTCTTTGCTGTACATTTAAATATTTATACATTTTTGTAGAATTAAAATATACTGGTTTAGTTTTCTTCTGGTGCGTTTGTCTTTTTCTCGATGTACTTGGGTTTTGTATGGTGAAGTGATGCTATCTGCTAAAAAGCCCCAAACTTCCCACTACAACCCCTGTACTTTTAGACCTTTTATGTACCCGGACAAGGTCAGAAGTAGGCAGCAGAGCCATTGCGGCTGTGGTGTGAGTGATGGAGAGGTGTCCGTACATGGAATGCAGCCGGGCTGGTTGTCACCGCCGTGTCCAGCTGTTCCCCAGCTGGAGTTTAAGGCTTGGTTTTCCAGAGATCCCCTGGAAAACACTGTCAGATGGGAAAACTGAGCTTGGCCTTGCGTCCCGTAGAGTCCGAGGAAGCATGCCAGGGTCCGCATCTCACGCTTAAACCCCTACTTTTTGCCCTGCTCTGCTAGATACTGCCCAAACGCTGCGTTAACCATCCGTGTTTTAGAAAAAAATGGTAAGACTTGAGCGGGAAAGGAGTAGTTTCCCTGTAAATCCTGGTTCAGCCCTGCCCAGCAGGGCCAGCTTGGGCAGCCGTGCGTCACCGTCGTCGGGGCTGCTCATCCCTCGGGTGACGATGCTCCCTGGGTGGGGGGCTGTCAGGAAGAGAAAGCAGCTGGCTGTATGTGTTACAGGTAACACGTGATGCCCATAACGGGGCTTTAGTCTGGTGGCGGTGGTCGGGGGATTTTCTGGTTTTTTCAGTCGCAGCTTGGCTCCTGAAGCGGCTGGGTAAGTTCTGGTAAGAAGGGAGGAGGGAGAATATTTTAAAACCAAAGGGTTTGTAAACAGAAATGAAAATTAATCCTCAGCAGACTGAGAGGGAGGGATCAGTTCATGCCATCGCTGTAGTGGAAGTGATTCCTGAGAAATTTTAGCACAAATATTCGTATGCCCATATTGAATTATTCCAGATTTGACTGTTAATTTCAGTTGCTGGACGAAATCAAGCCTTTTTGTTACTAGCCTTACAAAAAGTTAATCAAAGTGGTAAGAATGTTGTAGGTGA